TCTCTGTCAGATATCATAGTTCCTACGAAATTACGCGTCGTCAAGTATGTCTCTGAACAAAACATATGAATATTTGTGATTTTATATATCAAAACAGTAAAAAGTAAAATTTTAATTTTAACATCTTTTATATATCCTAGAAAGTCTATTCTAATTGGATTTAATATCAGATTGAGTATTTTAATACTTGGAACCAGTAACACTTACTCGAATGCAGTTCATATTTTTCTATGTACAGTTAAGGCTCCTGGCTCCTCGCATTGTCTATCTCTTTTTAATGACGTTAGAAGCGAAAAAATGCATGCTAAAAATTCTTGCGAAATACGTTGAAACAAAAATATATATCCATAAAGTAACACTTGCAATCGATTAAACAAATTTGTGAGATACTCCGTGCACTCCCCTTTTATTCTCTAACAATCAATAATTTATTGTAAATTAACCTGAATAGAAATAGGCGAAGAAATAAGTTAAGAAGATAAATTGTATGTCACGTTAATTTACGACGAATTATTGATTGTTAGAACGAGAGGGAAGTGCACGGAATATCTTACAAATTTGTTTAATCGATTGCAAGTATTACTTTATAGATATATATTTTTATTTCAACGTATTTCGCAAGAATTTTTAGCATGCATTTTCTCGCTTCTGCCGTCATTAAAAAGAAATAGACAATGCGAGAGGCCAGGAGCCTTAAAAGATTAAAAAAAACACACAAATTAACCCCTAAGCACTGACAGGAGTCTCTCTCTCTCTGATAGACTCCCAATGAAATAAAAATCCAAATTTTTTCCCAGTGAAATAAAAACCTATTGCTGTTTAACTCCCGCTTAAGCGTGTACACATCGCGTCCGTCTATCTTTTCTTTGGCCCGTAAGATACGAAGGAAAGACGTTTCGCACACTTTCTCAGGTAATTATTAAACTTCGAAATATTTTTGTAAATCTGTGCCAGTGCTTAAGGGTTAAATTTCACAGTGCGGCGATAATCAAACGGTCGATTCCCGACATTATCTCGACGAATTATTCGGCGCTGCGGATAGCTCGCCGTCGTCTCGACTGACGACAAAACCAACTCGAGCGTACACTATTATCCCGCGGGATCGGCGCGCATACATCCGGAGATCTATAAAACTTAAACAGCCATAAAACAGTCTCCGAGGTGGCCTTGTCGTGATCCTAGATTTACGCGTATTAAAAGAGAATTACAATATTAATAAGGCTCTTTTAATGGGCTAGCGGCCTTCATGTCGGAGCCGTCCGCCCTCGGCTAGATCCTTTCCTTCCTTTGAAACTCGTTACGATTTCGGCCGGCTCCTACGCCGACCTGGAGAACGAGGCAGCCGTAAATATCGACGAAAATATCGTTTATCGTTATTCACACGCGTTATTAACCCGCCGACGATATATCATTCCGCTCGTGTCCACACTTAGGAAAATCATTCCAATGCCCTTTTTTCTCTTTCTCTTTCTATCTCTGTCCTCGTCTCTTATGACGCGAACGGAAATCGTCGGACATTCTTACAAGTAAACCTACCCAAAAGTTACACTCCGATTTCTTTCTAATTTGGCACAAATGTGAAAGTACAAAAAATATTTAGATCATATTTTTTTTTGGCCCACTTTAAGTTTCACTTTAATGTTCTCACTTCTGTCATCAACAAGTGCAACAAAAATGCATAAGAAATAAAATTGAATACAAGATATAGTTAAATAATTTTAACAAAATCGGCATAGCTAAGACACGAACCATTCTAAATTTCTTTAGCCGAGATTCCAATCGAAATATTTCAAATCTGTGCTAAATTAGTAAAAAATGATTCAAATTTCGGCCAAACCGAGAGAGAAAGAAAGAGAGAGACAGAAATAGACGGCAATTTTAATTAAAATTTGAACTAAATTTCGAAGTTACTTCTCAGACAACTAATTGTTGTAATTGACTGTACAAACATGATAGAAGCAGTCTTATTCTATGTGTTAATGTCCGCCACGATTCTGTCAACCGGTTATTTTTTATAATGATCAAAATACAAATATACAGCAACATGGTCATCTTGCCTTTATTAGTATTCAGTTATAGTATTTAGTATTCAGTTATTAGTATTTAGTATTCAGTTGCCCAGTAGTGCAAAGTAAAAAAAGAAAATCACATACAAAATATGTATTTAGTAAAATATATAATTAGTAAATATGTAATTAGTAAATATGTAAATATGTATTTAGTAAAATATGTAATTAGTAGTTCCAGGATCTCTGCGAGAGATTTCCACAGCCCTGCTGTTGGCTCTTAATTATGAGCCAATCTTCCCTCTTCCGCCTATATACTCGATTTCAATCATTATATGAACAAAAATTGCTTTTATAATTCAGTATATAATACACTAGCAGGAAACTTTATTCTAACCAATAACACGTCACTTAACTTTATTCACTCAAGATGGAGAATATCAACACAAAATTTCTCAAGAGTCGCGAAAAGTTACTTTGCTATCACTAAACCAATTTTTTCCTATTTTATTTATTATAACTATAATATTCTTCCGACTTTAGTGAAGCTCAGGGAGAAGTATATCTATGTTTTGAAAGGACCATTTCGCGATTTCGTATCTATTTTGTTCCTCTCAAGATAAATACTAAAAAAAGTGCATAGACAATATGCGCCTGGGACCATCTAGATTCGATCTCACAATCAGTATTTCAGCGAAGAATACTGAATGTACTTTAGGGAATACATACGACTTATAACGCCAGCGAAAAAATTCACTCCGCAATTCTTCCGCCTGAGAACTTCACACGTCCGCGGCAACGAAAGACGAAAGAAAGAGACGGTTATTAGCCATTAACCGCGTGCAGACGCCATCCGCGACATCTTAAATTTTAATCTAGCAATTAAAATATGTTAAGCAGCTACTTAATATCGTGCCTGTGTATGCGTACACATATGTAAAATATACTACGGGTCCGGACTCGCAGTATTTCATATTTAACGCGAAACCGTAACTCGCCGCGGCTGCTGCTGCTTCTCGCCGCCGTCGTCCTTTTTCTCCCTTTTTTGATTTATAGGTAATTTATTACGGTTCTCTCTCTCTCTCTCTCTCTCTCTCTCTCTCTCTCTCTCTTCTCTCCCGTCTCTCGCGCGCGGGAGTAGCGGGTCTCACGTGTGTGCAGATCAGTGCGTGCTTTTGACGACGGCGAGATCATGGAAATGGGTGCCCGCATTTTCGCGGATAACTCGAGCATGGCTCGAAACAATGGCTCCGCGCTTCTTGACATCTTTTTTTCTGCCCTTTTTACTCGACCCGAGAGACGAGAGAGATAAAGAGAGATTGCCGTCCCGCTCGCCTCCCTGGAAAAAATTGCGACTCTGGGCAAACGCGATCTCGAGCTGACTTCGCCGATGCCGCCGCAATTATCATTAGCGGTCATAAGGCAACTAACGTACCTCGATATCGCGTAATGACAAGCAACAACGCGCTTACGAGCCGCTCGTTTTCAGCCCGGTTCCGAGTATAGCGCGCGTAATCATCGCCGTGCGCGTACACGGGCAGATGCGGCTTTACCTACGAGCAGTTTCTGGGCCGTTATTAAGTGCGTATTTCACGGGAAACGTTTACGAGCAAAAACCCGCCGACGCCATTATAGATACTTCCATTTTTATTGCGCTAAGGATCGTTTGCATAGTTGATTACGAAACCGAGCGTGCGAGCGGCCGCGCATTCGCGTGTACCGGCTGACGTTCGCGGGGCTGCGAACTTTATAATTCTGAAAGAGAAGGAGGG